GTGTGTGTGTGTGTGCGTGTGTGTGTGTGTGTGTGTGGTGTGTGTGTGTTGCTCGTGTGTGTGTGTGTGTGTGCGTGCTCTGAAGTTTTTGCAGGTTATTACTAGCAATTAAGACGTTATGAAAATTAAGTTTAGTTGTTACTTCCGGCTAAAGATGAGTTCGAATCACAGATGGAAGCTATTTGCATGCACCTTATCTTATGAATTTCCTCTTAATAACTCTAAAGACTGCAAATAATCCAAGTCAGATCCTTAGATTTAAGCTTAATATTTACTCGTATCATTATTACCTTGTATTTTTATTCCCTTTATGAGATTTTGCTTGTACACTTTGCATGATCTCACCTGAAGATTAATATTCTATATTACTTATATCATGTATTTTTTTCCAAGGAGATTATATTTGTATACTTCATTTAATCTGACCTTAAGAATTACGTAATTTTTGTCATGTTTTTGTTCGCCTAATGAGATTATATTTGTATGTTTCATATTCTCTGACCTTAAGACTCAGGTCATTTATATCTTGCCCCCCCCCCCCATGAGATTATATTTATATCTTATATTTACCTCATGTTTTCCCGACTGTTGTCATGTGTTTTCCCCCCCAAATGAGATGATATTGACGCCCTTGACATATTTTAGCCTAAGATCCCCGACCCTTCCCGCACTAATCCCTGGGCCTCCGCACAGATGGTGAAGATGCAGGCGGTGCAGTCGGCGCTGGCCATCCGGCGGCAGCGGTCCCGGCGGGAGGAGCGGCGCCTGGCGAAGGAGCGGCGCGAGAGCCAGGGCTCGCTGTCCACGCCGCGCCCCTCGCTGGTCAGCCTGGACGGCCGCGTCTACTTCAACGAGGAGAAGGAGAACAAGCGGCTGTTCGGGCAGGTGACCATGTTCCACGTGGGCCTCGTGTTCATCGTGATCGGCCTCATGCTCACCATCACGTCGCTGGTGCCCGGCTACGTCAAGAGCACGACGCCCGAGCGCCGCAGCGACCTGCTGGGCACCGGCTGCTTCTGCGTGTTCCTGGGCGGCCTGCTCACCACCATCAGCCGCTTCGTGTCCAACAACGAGGAGAAGGAGCTCAACCAGTACATCCAGGGGCGGCTGGGGCGCTCCAAGTCGGGCCACCGCCTGGTGCGCGACGCCGAGAGCGGCCTGCCCACGCCCACGCGGGAGCGCCGCTCCAAGCCGCAGCAGAACGGCGTCACGCCGCCCGCCTCGCTCGAGACGGCCGGCAAGAGCGGGCTCAAGCCGCGGGCGGAGGCCGAGCGCAAGCAGGAGAGCCCGACGGCGGCCATGGCGCAGGAGCCCGGCGGCAGCTCGTCCCCCGTCAGCGACGTCAGCGGCATGATGTCGTCGGCGTCGCTGGAGCCCGTCCTCTCGCGCATCCTGGAGGAGGACGAGGAGCTGGAGCCCGACGCCGCCACGGAGCCGCTCGACTCCACGCCCGAGTCGTCCCTCACACCTACCTCGCCGCTGGAGACGCAGGGCCTCCTGGACCGACACCACTCCACGCCCAGGAAGGGCTCCAAGTCCTCCTCCAAGAGCTCGAGTAAGAGCTCAAGACACTCGGGCGTGTAGGCCGAGCGCGCGGCCGCCCCTCGCCCTCGCGCTGCCGCGGCGCCCCCGACCAAGTCCGCGCCGCGCGCAGCCTCCCTCCAGGTGTTCACCCCCCCCCCCTAGAAGAGAGAAAAGAAACTACAAAAAAGCTATTTCGCGTCGCCGTTGACCGGCGGCGCCCTTTCCGACGCCTCCCCGGATCAGAATCCTCCTCCAAGGGCGTCGAGGAAGTCTCCGTGTAACCTCCGCAACTTTCATCCCAGAATCTGATCGAAGAGATTGATTTACTTCAATTTTTTTTAAATCGAGTATGAGTAAGCATGTGAGAAAACACGATATAAGTTTCTACTCGGAGTGAAGATTATATTTTTATGTAACATTTTCGTACAACTTTTCCAACTCTATTTTGGTAATTTGGACCAAACTTTGATTTCCTAGAGTTATTAAAGAACAAAACCCTCACACTCTCCACAACTCCCAACAACTTGAGTTCAACACTTAGAAGAAAAAAAAAAAAACATGAAATGTACATAGCCCTATATATAAACCCCATAATTACATAATTAATGATGCATATTGCTCCTGGTATTACGTACTCAGCCAATACTAGAGGAAAACATCTTTCAAACTCAGCTAAGACTAATTAAGGTCTCTATTAACTAGCGCGAATTTCCATTATATTATTCGAGTCTTCGTTAAAGATAAATAAATCTCTATATATATATTTTTCAAACAGGCAGAATATAGCTTATAATGAAGACATGTTTTTTATTTTTTTTTTTTTTTAATCCTGCTTAGCGCTTGTAATAAAATATTTGTGTTCGTAGTCAGTGAGCAGGGGTTGGGACGCAGCTCGTGAAAAACGCTCTAGTGATGTCAATAATTCGCTTTAAAAGGAATAATCATAATTAGAACCAAAATTGAAGTGCGCGACGTCGTGTCAAGGAATAGGTTCCGGTAAGATTGTAAAAAATGAATAAATGAATAAAAAAAAGTAAAATTTTAAAAAGTGATCAATTTATCTGATCTCTCTTTAGGTAAAATTATCAACGGTAAGATTCTTTAAAAAAAAAAAATAGTTCTCTCTCTCCAGATAAAATTATCAACAGTAAGATTGTCTAAAAAAAAAAGAAAAAACAAAAACAAAAAACAAAAAAACTGTCATCACCGGTAAGATTGTCTAAAAAAAGAAAAAAATAATTAAAAAAGTGATTTATCTAATCTCTCTTCAGGTAAAATTATCACCAGTAGATGTCTAAAAAAAAAAAAACAAAAAAACAAAGTGATCATTTCACCGGTAAATTGTCTAATAATAAAAGAAAAAAAGGAAAAATTGAATCAAAAAAGTGATTTATCTAATCTCTCTTCTGGTAAAATTATCACCAGTAAGATTCTAAAAAAAAAATATATATAATTAAAAAGTGATCCATTTATCTGTTCTCTCTTCAGGTAAAATCATCACCGGTAAGATTGTCTAAAAAAACGAAAAATTTGAATTAAAAAAGTGATTTATCTAATCGTTCTTCGGGTAAAATAATCACCAGTAAGATTGTCTTAAAAAAAAAACGAAAAATTTAATTAAAAAAGTGATTTATCTAATCTCTCTTCAGGTAAAATTATCACCGGTAAGATTGTCTAAAAAAAACGAAAAATTAAATCAAAAAAGTGATTTATCTAATCTCTCTTCAGGTAAAATTATCACCGGTAATATTGTCTAAAAAAAACGAAAAATTGAATTAAAAAGGTGATTTATCTAAATCTCTCTTCAGGTAAAATTATCACCGGTAAGATTGTCTAAAAAAAACGAGAAATTTAATCAAAAAAGTGATTTATCTAATCTCTTCAGGTAAAATTATCACCGGTAAGATTGTCAAAAAAAAAAAAAAGTGATCCATTTATCTGATCTCTCTTCAGGTAAAATAATCACCGGATTATCTAATAAAAACAACGAAAAATTGAATTAAGAAATCTGATCTATTTATCTAATTTCTCTTCAGGTAAATTTATCACCGGTAAGATGTCTAAAAAACGAAAATAAAAATAAATAAATAAAAATAAAAAAATAAATATATTCAAAAAAGTGATCTATTTATATAATCTCTCTCCAGGTAAAATTATCAACCATTTTGGGCAAGTGAATTCGTTTAATTAAAGATCAATGAGTGGTTAGAGCGGCCATTGAGAGAGAGGAGGAGAGAGAACGAACCGGGACGAGAAGAAAGTGGGTTGGATAAGTTGATTTAAGTGATTGTAGTTGATTTAAGTGCCTTGGTAGAGTCATAAATTTTTCAGAGGTTAGAGGAATAGTCTTAGATAGGTCTTTGAAGTTACTGACATCACTCCTTCGTTCTTTTTTTCTTTCTTTCTTTCTCTGTCTTCTGTGTCTGTTTCTGTCTTTTTCTGTCTCTCTCTCTCGGTTCATCTGTGTTTTCTTTTCTGTCTGTCTGTCTCTCTCTTTTTCTCTCTCTTTCTCGCTCTCTTTCTCTCTTTCTCTCTCTCTCTCTCTCTCTCTCGCTCTCTCTCTCTCTCTCTCTCTCGCTTTCTTTCTCTTTCTCTCTTTCTCCCCCCCCTCTCCCTCTTCCTCTCTCTCTCTTTCCCTCTCTCCCTCCCTCCTTCCATCATTTTCCATCTATCCATCTATATCTGTTCGCATCCTCTCACCTATCAACCTTCTGTCTATCTCTCACTTCCTGCCTTAAACCTTCATGAGACAAACCCCAGCTCACGCATTTGAAAAGGGCGCCATTTTGTCCGCGCGTTTTCGTGAACGTCCCGCCGCCATCGGCCAAACAAAATGGCGGCGGAAAAACGAACACAATCTTGCTTTTCGTTCAAAAATGTTTGAAGATTCGATCCGTTTCCAGCATAAAAAAGATGTTACGATGATACTGCTTAAAAGAAAAAGAAAAAAAAAAATGAACGGTAAAGAAAAAAAAAAGAAATCCCATCTTTTGAACTATAAATACCAGATGTCATTACCTCAGAAGTTAATTAAGGGTAATCAATATCTTGTGAACTTTGGCTTTTCCGTCATCCTCATTAATTAGATCGTAATCTGTGTAGATATTTTAAATTATATGGTCAATACATCAGCTTTGTATATAATAATAATAATAATATTCATAACTCAAAAAGTTTTTGACAGTTTTAAGCATATCGCAATATCAGTGTTTTTAAACGTGTATGTTGATCATATATATAGATTATCAGTCAAGTGAATTAAACGATATAAACACACGCACACACAGACTTACACAACAGCGTAAATTCTTATTAGGTGTAACTTAAATAAATCCTTTTTTTCCCTTTTATGAATACATGATACAAATCCGGAATCACTGGACGTAAATAAGAGATGAGTGTATGATTAGCATACATCAAATCATGGAGCTTTATAAGTTCTGTGGCATTTTATATTCTATTATAAAACCTATCGACGGGTTTTTTCCCCTCATGATGTCTTGATAGTCTAATGTGGTTCACCCCCTTCCCCCCGTCTTCCCGTTTTCTGTAGATTGAAAAAGTCTCCCCTAGAAAGAAAACCATTGTCTGCGTAAAGAAAACGGAGACATGTGGACGGCCACGAAAGCCTGCATTAACCTCAAGGTCTGGAGCTTTGGCTTCGCTTCAAGACGAGAGAAACTAAACAAAAAAAAAACAAGAACTATTCCCTGTTATTGTTCGACCTGGTGTAGTTTTATCTGCCTTGTTCTTGTTTTCCTTGTTCCAGTGTTATAGATAAGTGATTCGTTTTTGTTTTACGAACTTTTCCAAATCTTCTAGAACGTTTCGTCGGATTCTTCCTCCTTTCGAAGCTCAACTGTAGAGGGCCAAGGTTTCAACTTGAGACAAACCTTTTTAAACAATTGAAATAACATCATTAGCATTTATTTAAATCTCTTTTTTAACTTTTTTTTTAAGGTTTCAGTAGCGTTTTCATAAATGAGTTTATTCTGATGTGCCTGACTCGCTCTGTGATTGTGCTTGTTTATCTAGTTCGCTCTTTCCCCTGTAGATGTCGTTACCTAGACACACCTAGACTTGTGTATATAGAAATGTATACAAATATATTGTTATTTATGTGTGTAATATATATATATATATATATATATATATTTATATATATGTTTATATATATATATATATATATATATATATGTATATATATATATACATATATATATAAATATATATGTATATAATATATATATACATACATATAAATATATGTATATATATATGTGTCTGTATATATCTGTATATATATTTATATATAAGAATTATATATACATATATGTATATATATATATGTATATATATGCATATATATGTATATATATATGTATATATATGTATATGTATGTATATATACATAAATACGTGTACATGTATATATATATATGTTATGTATATATATATATATAAAACAATATATATATATATATATATATATATATGTATATATATATATACATATATATATAAATATATATGTATATAATATATATATACATACATATAAATATATGTATATATATATGTGTCTGTATATATCTGTATATATATTTATATATAAGAATTATATATACATATATGTATATATAATGTACACGTATGCATACACAAATACATACATGTTCATCTGTATATGTATCTATACAACTTCGTCTATGTAGATACGTGGGAAGTTTGACCTCTGCAACGTAGGATTTAGTTCGTAAGTGAGACCGCGTCACATCAGCATGGTCTGTCTGCATAATGCTGCTAACCATTTATAACGATACTCCTCACCCGGCCGCCTCTCAGTCCGGGGATTCTTTTGGGAACATTCACGTTACGTGTTACCTGAGTATGCATTTACTTTTTACTGTCACACAGATGATACTTTTGAATGACAACTTTTGTATCCACGCACTTTGATTAAGCAGTATTATTTTTCTATCAGCATTCTGCTACGACAAATGTATAAGCCTTATACATTTAGCCTCGGTGACGTGGCTAGCACTTTTTCTCCCCGAAAAGAAAAGAAGAAAAAATATAGACTTTGGAACTGTAGTCAGTTTAAAAGTTTCCTTACAGTTAAGTAGGTACTTCGAAGATGGCCAATAGCTGTAAACAAATGGTTTGTATATTAAGCCTGAGGAAGATGTGGCTTGGGACAATGAGGAAATAAATGATGTATGATACAAGGAGAAAGAAAGTGCGAAAGTGCCTGGCAGGGGATACAGACGTAGAATTCTTGATTCACTTTATCTTCATCTTCGTCTTTCTTGCCACTAAGTAGTTCTATTTAGCGTAGTGCAGCTGTGAGATGGAATGTTCATGTCGAAGATTTTTTTATATATATATACTCTTATTCATAGGGAGAACGAGAGTATTAGCTTTTACATCCACGGGCCGTCAAGCGAACTGAGACAGGGTCGCTTAGGATCGCAACAAAAGGAAGACTTTTATCACTTAAAGACTTCCGGGTAATTGCAAGCGCCAGCAAAGCGCGAGGAAAGGACTGTCAAGTGATTTATACGTGCCATAAAGACCAGTCAGGTCATACAGAAAGTGAGTAGAAAAAAATTGTCGAAGCCATTATATAGGGAAGGACTGAACACAAGAGTGGAGAACCAGCGTCGCAGCCCAGTATTCCTCAGGCCAAAAAAGAAAAGAAAAAAGAGAGAGAGAGAGAGAGAGAATTCGACACTTAAACTCTTTCTCATTTGTCTCATGGACTTGCTCTCGCTCCTTGTGACCAAACGCCAGTACCTTACTCCATCCTCACCACCAAGAGATCCCATAGACACGTTACCTCCACGTTGTAACTCCATGATATATTTACCTGCAAACCAGACTTGTCTCAGTGTCCACCGGATGCGGGTCTCCTAGCTACGGCTTAGGAAAAAAAAAGAAGACATATAAAATCCTTAATACGCCTTTTTCTTCATCCTTCCCTCTCCCTCCCTCCCTTTCTCCCTCCCTCCTTTCCTCCCTCCCTCTCTCCTTCAACTCCCTCAACTATACCAAATAATTGATATCCTTTGCCGGAAAAGGTCGATAGATAGAATCCACACCAAGTAGACCTCCTCGTAGCTCTGTGTCCAAGGGAAGCAGCCGTTTCTTGACCGTGTGTTGTTCCTGTTAAGGTATTTCGACCGTGTCTTGGCGATGAGGTCGGCTGTGTATAATGTGTAAATACCCTTCGACATTAATCAAAGACAGATAGTGGGTTCGTGGCGTTAATATATATGTCAACGAGAGAGATGTCACTTTTTTTTTAACATCGACACACCGGTTCGTTAGTCTTCTTTTCTGTGTCATATATTTCGTTTTTTTCTTCTCTCCTTCATCTTCTTTCTTTCTCTGTCTTTCCGTCTGTTTTTTGGTTTATGAGTTTGATTTTCTTTTATTTATTATTTGATTTGTTTTGTTTTTGTCTTCATTGTTGGCCCCCAAGGATACCTTATTTTTTTCTCTTTTAAACTTTAATCTTGCTCTCTCTCCCTCTCTCTCTCTCTCTCTCTCTCTCTCT